ATATAATGCATAAGTCAATTAAACAAGGAGACCGTTTAAACTTGTAAGGTAAATTCCTAAATTCCTCATATCAAATGATAGTAAGCAAATGAGACCGTAAATAATTTTGGTAAATTTTATTTAAAAAGTACAGCTTTCGGTTCTGATAAAGGCTTGGTGATAAATAACCAAGAGTTTATAGGGCTGAAAATATCGGCTTAAATTAGCACTGAGCCAACCTCAAATCTACTTTGTGGTTTCTTCTTTAAATCTATAGATATATAAGATCCCGAAATTATAATTCTTCTTTGAGTGATTGGTTATCGGTTTCAACAGTTTCTAGAAGGATACAAAGTGATCATCGACAGACGTGAGTGCAGAGAATGAAACTAGGAATGGACAAAATAGACTGCGTATACGCCGTGTATCGCTGTCCAAACCATAGTTCACTACAAATGAACGCATTCCTGTATCATTTTTATGAGCTAAAGCATAATAGCAATACGTATTCTGTAATATGTAAATTATCTCAAGGAATTCCTACAATTTATCTTTACAGTGTTGTCACAAGACAGTGATCGTCCATATATACAATTAGTTATTGTAGAACAATTAGTGCCACTTAAAACAAGTGAAGTTTTAATTGAAGCATGTTGTTATTGGATGGTCTTTGAACAAAAGAATCAATCTATGTTTGCTTTTTAACTCTTGCATTTAATTAAAAGTGCCGTAAAAATTGAAGGACTATATAGTTGAGTTTTCTCGTAATCTGATGAACAACGATCGTATTAGTCTGAGATGAAGCCAGAATAGAGGTATTATTAGACAAGGTTGTTTTCTAGAAAAAAATCAGTTTCAACAAATAAAAATTTACTGGTTAAATCATTAAGTATTACCCAACTAATCTGAGTTTTTGAATATTTTTAATGTTATAAAAAATCACAAATCTGCAAAAGATAGCATAAATTTGAATTATTTGTCATTATTATCGCATCTCACCGGAATCGTTGCCAAAGTGAAAGGAAAAAGAAATGCGCCGAACAAGCAGCCATTCACATTCATTCAAACAGTCCTTGGCAAGATGAAGCAGAATCATCAGCACCTGTGACGTAGAGGCTGCTTGATTGAGTAAGGCAAAATTTAGGCAGTCGGTTCGCAGCGTCGAAGTGGAAAGTCGCTAGTATGTGAGAAAATGCAAATATAAGAAGCAATATTCAAGCAATAAACGGCCATATTCTTTGAATTAACTTATTTGGCTGAATTGATAGAATGTATCGTATGACAACTATTATAATGAGACTCTATTCTTAGTATAAGTGCAATCAAATTTTAGACGAATTATTTAGAAGAGAGAAGTGGTTTGACCTCGTTTTGACAACTTGATATTAACGTGAGGGAGACCTAGATGTCCGAGTTATTTTATCATAGTATCCATGATAATTTTCTGCGTTAAATAATGGACATGATAGATTCCTATATTTTGCCGACATCGTAGGTGAACCTCGCCATTCTCAGCATCACACTGCAAGTCGTCGAAGAGACAAGTGAAGTCCACTTTATGACTAACTGTTTGCTAAACAATTGTGCTATATCTTTTTTTTCTCAAAAAGTTCTTTTATCTTATATCTTCGCATCACTTACTTCTTTGTCACAATTCTAACTTGCCTATTAGAGTGGATTTATTGAAATCCATTCACACTCACCACGGATTCCCTCATCCCCTCTACTGTTTAGGGAGTCTGTCCATTTGGTCAGCAATCTTCTTCATTAAGGTCCTATCAGAGTCGTCCTCTAAGTTCCGCAACCATATCTAGGCTAATCGAAGCGTTGTCTCCAAATTTCATGCTTTTTCACCATATGAGACCAGCCTTTATGTTGATTTCGAGTCGAGCTCGTATTCCATCCTTGCAATGCGTTCAGTTTTTTCGGATATTTTACTATCATTGGTTCAAAATAAGCTTTGATATTCCTTAATTCATAGGCTGTTTTTTCTTCTTATTTCATCAATATACCTCTGCTCACAGTTCCTACATATTATGCGATAAACGCCCGAGCAATCATGTTTGTCAACCATCTCATGCTGCGTCTGCAAGCAAGTTAAGTGGTGTCTTCTCCTTCGTGATTACACGATTTTTCAGAATCGATGTCAAACCACTTATATGCAATGAAAGGATACAACGACACAGCAAAAAACCACAGCGTTTTGTTTTTTTCATAAACTTATTTAACAAGAGGTAAAGTCTGAAAATATTCGTTCGAGTAGTCCCTAAAAATGTTAAGTAGAAAAGTTGCAATCGTCGAGTTGTACGCAATCTCAATTCATGGTTAATATAACCAGAAATAAAGGACTGATTGGTCTATACAATTATTAAAAAGGTTGTTAGTCTGGGTTAAATCGCGTAATGGAAATACAAAAGAAACGCGACGGCGATAGATAAAGGTTGTAAACTCTAATGCATATGAAGGATAATATGTGGCAACAAGGTACTTGTCTTAACTGTCCATCGATACACTCCTCGATGTCGCCTAGCAGAAAACGAGCATCGGTAGCAAGTCTTACTGCCAACTGATCAACAGTGAAGGCAAGATCTTGGCCTGCGACACCTTGGACGGAGCTTGTCCAGCCAACTAATTTAGAAAGCCAAATGGCTTGCGACAGCACCTGACATCTAGTCAGTAAGGAGACGGAACCCGTTGAGCTGGACTGGAGAAAAAAATTTATAAGCGTCATGGACATTCAAAGAATATAGAATTATGCCATATAAAAAATAGATACAGAATAAATTCAATTAATAAAAAATTGTTGCTTAATTCAAAGTTAAACCTTATATTTTCAGATAAAAATAAAATGTTGGGAGTGTAATAATCCATGAAGTAACTAAGACATCCATATGTTCAAATATATCAGTAGTTAAAGAAATTTAAAAGTAAAAATAAGAAATACACAATTAGGACATTCAAAGGAGCATTCATGAGGTAGATATAAAAATCGGCAAAGAGAAGGTAACAGAAAAAAGAGCCCCATATGGTGACAACACAAGGAAGCGAAAGATAAGGGCCAATGACATCCTGGAGGAGAAAAATCTAATGAACAGGAGATTGGAGGAAGGTAAAATTAGCGACAACTTTGCCTACTGCCTAAGCATACTCGGAGAAAATAAGAATAGAGCAAGACCAGCAAAAAGGAGACACCTGGATCAAGGATCTACCGATAACCAGAGGAAAAAATACGCGATGAAGAAAGTGGGGAGCAATGGTTTTCGGCAATAAAGCGAAGACGTCAGTGAGTGATGTATGTTTCGAATAATCAGTACAACTTTAGGTCCCTGGCAGTCAGGGAGCTGGATAGGTAGATAAGCAAACCCTAAAGAAAATTT